TTTTGTTACGTACTCCAGACGGTAGGTGGTTCGCTCGGTTTTGTGTAGGATTTAAGAGCATGGAGGAACGTAACGAGCCTCCCACATAGCTTACCAACTATGCCTCTCGCACAGATCGACGACAATGGAACCGCTATCTACTACGAGGATACTGGTGTGCCGGATGGCTCCTCGACTTACCCTACTATCGTTATCACGCACGGCCTACTGATAAACTCTGGCATTCCCATCCCTAAATTCAACGAACAACCTCTGACGCGCAATATACTGTAGGTATTTTTGATCGCGTGCTGCCGTATGCCTCCAAATACGGTCTACGCATCATCACCATGAACAACCGTGACTACCGTGGATCGACGAGAGGAACTGGCGCACATGACGAGTCCCAATGTTGAAGTCCAAGCGTTTGCGGTGCGCAGATGGGGACAGGAGATCGCCAGGTTTCTCGGATACGTCTGTCAGACATTGCGCATCCCTGCTATCACGGGCGAGGGGGACATGTTGTAGGAATCTTTGCGCAGGCGGGGGATTCACGAATAATGTACAATAAATTGTCGAAATATTACACCGTGTTCTTTTATAGCTATAGTATTTCCTAATCTAATCATAACCAATGAATGTCCTTACAAAGGCGAGACTAGGTACAAATGAGTTGGGGTGTCAAACGGGCGCCAGCGTAAAGTGCTCTGGGCGTGTCACATCTAAATAAAGAAACCATGATGCGGAGCGCGTCATGTCAGGGAGCACGGGACTACGAAGCGCATCAGCGCATTGTCGAATCATCGGGTACGCGCCTCAGATACAACAACAGGACAAGAAAGAAGGTGGGCTAATGCTAGTCTCATGGTCTGTGTGCGGCGTCGGAACTACGTCCATCCTGGGAGATCCTCAGACAATGGGGGACGACCTGATGGCTACGCTGGCCCCTTACATGTTTAGGCTCTTATATCATGGTGCGCATCAGAGCTCCTACGGACAGGCGGCCAAATGCTCAACTCTTTCCCGCAGACCCGCCGTCTCACATATATGGCGTAGTACCCGATCTGGGTTTCACTTGGCCTTTCGTCGACCCTACAGTTCCGCCTGAACGGAAGGCAGATGAATTCGTCGACTGGGTGTCTGAATATAACACTCCGCCGCCAGATGGGACTCCCATTACGGTCGAGTCGATGCGCAAGTACTTCACCACCACTCCGCGCACGCCGACGCTCCGCACGCTGTCCCCGGAAGATTACGAGCGAACCGTCGAACTTCATGTTCGCTCCGGCGGTTTGATTATGACCACAGACGAGGCGATCCGCCGTAGGCATACGCGCTGCACATATCTTGACGCGGATGCGGTCCTGCCCAATGTCGACATCGTATTCCTCTTCTGTGAGGAGGGTACGTGGTCTGGTATGTGGGGAGCCAAAGTGACTCAAGACTTTATTGAAGAGGCGGCCGAGCCGGGTAAGAGAAAGCGAAAGACCACTTTCCAGAGATTGAAAAATGCAAACCACTTTGTGAGTTTCCCCTGCTCAATGAAGTTTTATCAATAAAATTGGCTCACATTTGCGTAGCTTCAATGGGATGACCCAGAGCGGATGATCCGCATTTTTGCAGAGCATTGCTACAATCGTCTGTAGCCTGAGTAGGCAAATGACTGTCATGGGAAATTTATTGGAATGTCAAGGGAGTTCCCAATATTTTTGTTCATAATGTACTAGCGCTCTGGAAGATGAGCTTCGTCGCCATGAGCACACCGCCGAAGTGCGCGAGCATGCTTTGCGCGGGATGAGACACTAGACTTGTCCAATGTTGCTTATTTTTCACTGTTCTCAGGCTGGAACGTGCGTGCAAGGTCATATAAACAAACACTTTGTTCGCACCATTACCATCAATACTGATGGCGCAGTTCATTGTACGTTTACGTACGTTGTATGCATCTGTAGGAAGCCCAATAAACTTGAGCTGAATGTGTTCTGCCACCGCCTGCTCATGCATCTAACCCCAACCTTCCTGGCAGGGGAATCGGCGAAGCCAAATGACTGCTCAAGCGCTCACTACACTCCGAGGATCTCGGCCCCCTTGGAAGCCGACCTCCGACGGCGCTCTGCGTGTTATTCTGCCGCAGTCATGGGGCATCTGCACGGCGCTCACTGATAGTACATGTTTCGTGCGACACCCTCATAGGCGACACTCTAATAAGTGACAGTGCAGTGAGTTTCTCGTTCCAACCACCCTACTTTCACTTCTCATGATGTGGCAGCAACCCACCGACTTGCTCTCCGTTCTGCAGGCTGTCGGGATAGCACTAGGATGACTCGTGGTCTTAACTCTACTGAGGTCATGGGTGAATGGCAAATCCAGGCGATTGTTGCTTTCACTCCCACCGGGGCCCAATACGCGATGGTTCTCCCCAGGGGGTCGGTAGGTTGCCCATGACGTGCATCGTTCTTTCATTCAGTCCATCTAATACCTTCTGCGCCAGTCTTCCGTTCAAATTCGCACAGCTGATAGAAACGTACGGACCCGTGTTCTCACTCAAGCAGGGTACGCGCATCGTCTGTGTCGTAGGGCGGTATCAGGTGTGTCTCAGGTGGCCGCTAATGAGATGGAGACTGCGGCGCTACTCACACATGACGCACCCCGCAGGCGGCGATCGACACCATGCAGAAGCACGGCGCCTACCTGGCAGACCGCCCCATATCCATTGCCGCGGGTGAACTGGCCTCTGGTGGCAAGCGGACTCTGCTCGTGGGGGCGGGCGACCGGCTCCAGAAATTACGAAAGTAAGTTGGGCGGCATCATTGCCGATATTTCTGTTTTATTGATGTCTGTCTTCAGGGCTCTGCATTCGCACTTGCAGCCTTCTATCGCTGCGCAATATAGGCCGGTGCAAGCAGGACACGCGATTAACGTTCTTTTGGATATTTTACGAGATCCGGAGCACCACTTCGACCATGTACGTAGGCAAAGTGCTGAAATTCTTCAGCAACATGCTGAAAA